ATACTTTCGACGATTCTGACAGCTACTGTTTTGTTCAACTTTTGAATAACCCACATAAACTGAATGACACTGATTATTTTTTCTACGTTCTCCTAACTCAGATTAATCGGAAACCAATTCTACAAAGCACAAAGCACTGACGTTCATGATTGGAACTTCCTCATCCTTGTTCGTCTGACGACAGACAGCTCCTAGTTTACGACCGCATAAAATGGCCGATCCCAGAGCGAATATCAACTCCAAAATACTTGCTGCTATAATACCCGCGTCTAACTTAAAGTCAGTACCTAACCGCGACATTTGGCTGAAACAGCAAAGATATTAAGGCACAAAAAGTGGTTGAAACTTCACAAAATGCAAGTTTTGGATGAAAAAACCATCACGTATGGTGTTTAGCAGGCAATGGTGGTACATGTAATATGCTAGTCGGTGGTGGAGCCACAGCTAATTACGAAAAACAATTCATTTTTCTGTGATAGTTCCTTTTTGAGGTCATAGCAACATAATATCAGTAAGCACATTTTGTCTACTACTCACCTTCGCTGGTTATCTGTAACATTCGCACCACAAAGAATCTGACACTTGCTGTCTTTAGGCAGACTGGTTGCCAAAAGATGCCAGTCGCATTGAGCAAAGCATTCTGCCTGTAAAGTGAATTAAAGTAGAAATAGTATAGGATTTTTTAGCAAAGTCTTGAAAAAACGTTGAGAAAAGAACAATAAGTGGTGCTTCTCCAACTGTCCAACAACTAAAAATACTCAAACTTAAGTTGGCTTCCAAAAATATTTGACATTTTACTTCCATAAACAGGCCAATTTTACTGCTAGAGCTTCACTGATGGTAATTTATCTGTATTAAAATAAAAGCGGTAACCTGATGAAAATGTATGTCAAAGCTTGAAACGATGACTATGGCTGGAACAAATATCATAATTACATGAATGCTCATAACCATAAACGCAATTAACAAACTTTGTCGGTGACTTGCAGCACCAAGAATTCCTATTACACTGAAACAAGTACAGTAATAAGCTATCAGTTGCGCAAGATAATTGTCATTATATAAAGTCCTATAAAATCAGTTTTATAGTGTATCAAAGTGTAACAGGAGTGATAACTAACTAAAAAAACAAACCCAGTGACAATAAAATAAACAGAACAACATTCGACCAAAGCCACCAGCCTTATAGCGCTTTCGTTAGAACTAAGAAAATCCGCCAGAGCAGCCAAAATCAAAACGATTAAGCCAACAATAACTTGACATCTGGCAAGAGACTAAAAACTAAAACATTTTACACCAGGTTACCAAAATTCTCATAGGGTTTAGTTTTTCAGTTCATAAAACCCAGCAAATTTATTATTGACTCTGACTATCATAAGCTAATTATTCAGCACGATGTATTTACAGATTGTGGGGAATGTGGATCTAGGTCAAATAAAAACAGGTGCTCTGAAAGCAGGCGACATCAGACAAAGTTCTTCGTTGAATATAGCAATAATAAAAACTGCTGAAAAAATGTATTGGTAGTCGTAAGTTGCATAAGTGGTTATACTATATGAAGTCTTGTTTACGTGACAACAACCAAAGTGTTGAGCTGAACTTGAAGAAGTCAAAAAAAAGGAAAGTCAAAAAAAAAAAAA